GCTTCCTGGCTCCAGGGGGAAAGATAGTGCACTGCTCAGTCTCCTGGAGAAGCTTGTCACATTGGCTTCCTGTTGTGTACTCAGCTGTCCTGATCATTGGAGGAGCTGTGGACCTCACTGTTGCTGAGGATGGCTGTGGAGCTCTGGTTCTTATTTTGAGGGTCACTTCCTGGCTCCAGTGTAGATTCCTCAGTGTGCTAGCACAGGTCCTTCCTCCTGCTGGCACAGACTTTCTAGATTCCACCACTAACCTTTGGGACTTCCCATGGTAGATCTTTGAAACAGGCCTGCATGAGACACTGTCGTGGGCTCTAGGCCTCCAGCTGGACTCATGGGAGGCACTGTTACAGGCTCTAGGTCTTCAGTTGAACTCATGGAAGACATTATCATGGGATCCAGGCCCTCAGCTGGATTCTTTGATCTGTAGTGTGGGGACAGATTTCCTGCAGTCTCTTGTATATGATTCTTTGGGCGACTATTATAAATAATTTTATAAAATATGTGTCCTGTATGATATTGTTCCCCTTGCACAAATATCCCCAAACTAACACACCTATTTTTATTCCTTTTTTTTTTCTCTTGTCTAATTGCTCTAGCTAATGTTTCCAGAACTATATTGAATAGGAGTGGTGATAGTTGGACATCCTTGTCTTCTTCCTGATTTTAGAGTGAATGCTATCAGTTTTTGACAATTTAATATGATGTTAGCTGTTGGTTTGTCATAGGCGGCTTCTATTAGATTGAGGTAAAGACCTATTTTCTGTAGGGTTTATACCATGAATGGGTGTTGGGCTTTGTCAGATGCTTTTTCTGCATCTATTGAGATGATCATGTGATTTTTGTCCTCGATTCTGTTAACTTGGTGCATTACATGTGTTAATTTGTGTGTGTTGAAGCACCCCAGCATCCCGGGGCTGAATCCTACTTGGTTGTGATGCATAATCTTCTTGATGATTTGCTGCAGTCTGTTTGCCAGAATCTTAAGGGTTTTTGCATCTATGTTTTTTAGGGAGATTGGTGTGTAGTTTTCCTTTTTGGTTACATTCTTCTCTGGTTTGGGAATCAGGGTAATATGTGCTTCTGGGAATGATTTTGGAAGTACTACTTCTGTTTGAAATTCTTTAAAGAGTTTCAGCATCAGTGGCATTAGTTCTTTGCTAAACTTCTTGTAGAATTGAACAGTGAGTCAGTCAGGGCCTATGCTTTTCTTTGTTGGTAATTTTTCTTCTTCTTTTTTTTTTTTTTTTTTGGTACTGAGAATTGAGCTCAGGACCTCACGCTTGCCATGCTGTTATACCCCTTACCTTGTAAATTTTTAATTACATTTTCAATTTCATTGGTTAGTATCAGGTAATTTAGAATTTTTATATCTTCTTGGTTTAATTTTGGCAATTCTATTGTACCTAGGATTCTGTCCATTTTTTCTGTGTTTCCCATCTTATTAGAGTTTAAGTTCTCATTGTAGGTATGATGATCTGGAATTCTGTGGGATCCATTGTTACTTCCCCCTTCTCATTCCTAATTGCCTGAATTTGTGTTTTTTCCCCTCTTTTTAACGAGGTTGACTAATTGTTTATCACTTTTATTTATTTTTTCAAAGAACCAACTTTTTGATTCATTGATTCTTTGTATTATTTATTTAGTCTCTATTGCATTAATTTCTGTTTTTATCTTTATAATTTCCTCCCTCATACAAGCTTTGGGTTTGATTTGTTCTTCTTTTTCTAGAAGTTTGAGGTTGTTTATTTGAGCTCATTCTGTTTTCCTGATGTGTGAGTTCCTTGCTATAAATTTCCCTCGTGGGACTGATTTCATTATGTCCCATAAGTTTTAGTGTGTTCTATTGGCATTATTGTTTAATTGTATATACTGTTTAATTTCATGTTTAATTTCCTGTGTGACCCACTGGTTGTTCAGAAGGGTATTGTTTAATTTCCATGTGTTTATGTAGTTTTTGTGAGTTCCTTATTTCCAGTTTCATTGTGCTACCATCAGATAGTATGTATGAGATAATTTCCATTCCTCTACATTTACTTAAACATGTTTAGTCAGCTGGTATATGGTCTATTTTAGAGAACGTCCCATATGCAGCTGAGAAGAATGTGTATGCTGATGTTTTGGGGTGGAATGTTCTGTAGACATCTAACAAGTCCATTTGTTCACAGGCTTGGTTTAATTCTAATATTTCTTGGTTAATTTTTGGTCTAGTTGATCTATTTGTTAGAGTGGGGTATTAAGATTCCCCACTACAATTTTATGAGTAATTATTTGATTTTTTTATGTCTATTAATATTTGTTTTATGTAGTTAGGTGAACCTTTGTTTGGTGCACAAATATTTATAGTTGTTATCTCTTCTTAGGGTTTTCCCTTAGCAAATATGTATTGACCTTCTTTATCACTTTTGATCAGTTTGGGCTTAAAGTTTCAATTGTCTGCAAATAGAATAGCTACCCTTGCTTTTTTCTGGGTTCCTATAGCATGGAGAATTATTTTCCATCCTTTGACTTTTAGTCTATGAATTTCTTTTTTGTGTTAAATGTGTTTTGTGAATGCAGCATACTGTTGGATCTTGCTTCTTGATCCATTCTGCCACCTTGTTTTTTTTGATTGGTTACATTGATGGTTATAACTGATATGTATTGGCTTTTCTTTTCCATGTTGTTTTTCTGTTATTTGTTCCCTGTTTTTACCCTCTCTTTAGTTGTTTGCCCTGCCTGGTAACTTCTTTCTACTGTTGTTTCTGTGTTTGTGGTCTTTGTTATCTCTTTCTCATATGTTCTTCAGAGCATTCTGTAGAGCTGGTTTGGTGGTCATAAATTGTTTCACTTGTTGTTTGTTATGGAAGTATCTTACTTCTCTATCAATTTTGAAAGATAGTTTTGTGGGGTACATAAATCTGGCTTGCAGATTGTTTTCCTTTAGGGCTAGAAATACCTCACCCCAAGCTGTGCTTGATTTGAGGGTTTGTGTTGAGAAGTGTGGTGTGATTTCGGTGGGCTTTCCTTTATAGATGATATGTTTATTTTCTCTAGCTGCTTTTAATATGTTGTTCTTGTACTGAATTTCTGAAATCTTGGTTATTATATATACTTTGGTGTAGATTTATTTTGATTATGGCTTTTTGAAGTTCTATATACTGCATTTATTTGTGTGTCAAATTCTTTATCCAAGTTTTGGAAGTTTTCTGCCATTATTTCTGTGCAGAATTTTTTAATGGTTTTTGAGTTCTCTCCAGCTTTCTCACTGATTCCAATAAATCTCATGTTGTTCTTTTTTGCTTTTTCCTGTAGGTGTTGGATTGATTTTTCCTGGTCTTTTACTATTTTAAAGATGTCTTTCTTTTCCTGTTTGCTAGCCATGTTCCTATCCTCTAGATCTGATATTCTATCCTCACTTTCATTCCATCTGCTGTGTATACTTTCAGTGAAGCTTCTAATCTCCTGTATTCTGTTTGGGTCTATTTCATGGACTCCATTTCTTGTCTGTGTTTGGTATTCATGGTTTTTCATCATTTTCCTGAGATCCTCTATTTGTTTACCTGTGTCTGCTTTAATGTCTTTTATATTGATAACCATTTCTTTTTGCACCTTCTCTTCCATTTGTTTTACTTCTGCTGCTATCTTTTCACAGAGTTCCATTTGTTGGCTACCAATTTCTCTTTGTGCTCCAGACTTGTGCTGGGTGGGCTAGGCATTTAGGATTGCATTTTGCTTCTTCATTTTGTCATTTTCTATTTTATTTTGTTTTCTGTGTTGATGTTGTACATTTCTTACATTATATAGCCTTATCACTGGTGTTGAGGTTTTCTTAAGTGGTGTCTGTTCCTCTGGATGTCTTCTAGATGTAGATGGTTTCTTCATCTTTATGTCTATGCCAAGAACCTGTCTTCCCAATATATTAAATCTGAGGAGTTGCTATCAATTTGACTTAGGGTCTTTTCTTTGATACTGGACTATGGTGATGGTTATGATCACATACAATTGCAATGTTGTCATACAGGGGAAAAAGTGTTTATAGTATGTATAACATCTTGGTTAAAATAGTTTAGTTGGCAATAACAGACTCAAGTATAGCCTGGCTACTGACAAATTGTGGTAACTATTAGCCTAATATTTATAACCATAGGAGAAAGGTTTATAGAAATATAATATAATTCAACTTATACCAGAAACTTGTATGCAGTGATTTTTCCACTTAGTGGAGTGAATTTACCCTGTTTTAGGGGGGCAGTTCCAGAAGATAGGGGGATGGAGAGATGAATGAAGTTAAATATAGGAGCAAGGTTGGAGGGCACAGTATGATCATCCAGGTTTTGAGTAATTGTAGGGCACAGGAGGGAAGGACTGGAAGAGAAGGCCTAGGCATTCTGACATGAACCAGAAAGAGAGGAGACAATGTTTACTCGCATGAAAGTATCATAAAGTCAAGTAGGACAGTTGATGAAAGAGAGGAAGAGGACGAGTAGAAGAAAACAAAAAGTTAGAGGTCACCTATTGGCTCATGTTGCTAATGCTGCATGGCATATTTCCACGCCTCTAGTCCTGCCTGTCCATCATGTGTGCCTTAGCCAGGGTCCTACTGTGTCACTGATGTTCCTACAGGTCCTGGAACCCTGAGTCCCACCACTAGAGGAAAGGAGGGATGGATCTCAGACTTCTCTCAACAGCTGTGTGGTTCCAGGTCAATGGAGGGAGGGAGGGGCTGAACTCACACTCTTGTCCCAGCTGTGCCATCCCCAGGAGATACAGCCTAACCAGTCCTTGAACCTACTGTATATAGCAAGGTGCCCAAATCTGCCAGGAGTCAATTTTGAAGCCAAATATGAGAAAGAAATTGGCGCTGGCTCATTTCCTAGTTCTGTTGCTGCTCTCTCCTTGCCCGGAAGTCTATTCTGGTCTTCTAACCTCAAAAGATAAAACAACATCAGCAGTTCTCTATCCAAGAGCCAAAACACACACATGAAAACTGACTGCTGGAAAAGATAGTCCACTTTACACACCTTCAGAATGATGCAGGGATTTGCTCTGGTGTACATTATAATCCCGTTGCTTTGCAGTGTTCTCAGGCGTAGAGCTAGTTTGAAGTCTTCCTCTTTGCTATTTTCAGAAAGACGATATTTGATATAACTGTTTCCAGCAAAGCTAAGAGAAGTGTGTCCTGAAAAGACCATTACAAGAAAATATATATTTTAACATCTAGGAATGAGCAGGGACACATGAAATCACCCAACAACTACCAAGCAAGTTGATTGAAGATAGGGATAATTTAATGAAGGAATTGAGGAGAAACTTGTTTCATTAAGAACATATTTGCTACTTCCTGTCACACTCTAATTTCAAAATGAAAAAAAAAATACTAACTAGTGAGTTACCAAAAATATATTAGTAATCTCATGTCAATAGTAATTTGGTAGATTCTACAACCTGGAATTTTTTAGTATTACTAAAGCCCCACTTTCTAAAATTAGCATTATGAAAAGAAAACCCTTAATACTCCCTCTACCCCACATCTGCCCCACCAATCTCTTTTACTTATTAGGGGCTCGAGAACCTGGGATTCTATGAGACAAAAGAAAAGAGAATAAAACCACTTCATATAGTATCTCTGTTCCTCAAATAACCTAATACCAAATAGGCAACTTATGTCACTTACACTAAAGATGAAGAAAGGTAACTGATATAAAGGAAATCCCTGTGCAGTCACAGTGCATCTCCTGATCAGTAATCTCAAGGCTATCCTCCCCAGAATCTCTGCTCCAACCTATCATTGCCCAGTTCTGAGTTCATCATTTTTATTACCTCCAATTTTATGTCTTAACAAGCAAAATGAATGTTGAAAAGCTGCCTTACTGAAGTGAAAGTAGAAATATACCAAATGGATAATTAACATGGAAATTCAAAAGTTTTCTATATAGAAACATAAAGGAGATGGGCATAAAATGACACCAAAAGGAAAAAGACATGGCTATATGGTATTCACATATCCACCTGCCATGTGCATGGCATGTGTATTGGGGCAGGGGAAGCATAATTTTCTTTTTAGCCTAAACTTATATGGCTTAGGTAAGCATCCCTTCACTTCATGGGCAGCACTACTCTTCACCTCAACTCTGAAGGAGATTTTGCTTTCATTTTTAAGAAAATACTTCTCATTGCAAAGGCTCAATTTCTAAAACTCAAAGTGTAGCAAAGTATCTTGCACATAATAATTTTTATTTCCCCTACAGTTGCTATTATTATCATCACAATAAATACTATTTGGAATTTAAAATTGCTATCAATGTGTCTGTATTTTAAGTACACCCTACAACAAAAAAAAGAATTCAGTTGGCACCAAAAATAAATACTCTTTTTAGAGGAAAGAGGTGTCAGAGAATATATGAGTCAAAAGAAGCGTTGAAATTTAGTGAATATTGAAAGAAAGGGCCATTTGCATCAAGATAATCTGAATACTGTCTTCCCTTATAATGCAGAGGTAAGCACCTATTCTTTATGAAACATGCAATCAGTTGTACAGTTCCATGGTAGGGTCGGTTTACTTAGTACTTTGGGCTGGTCAACTATGGAAGGTCAACAGGATTCGCTTGGCTCTCTACCTTTGTTGATATGTTTTGTGGCTGTGGGTTTGTACAGCCCTCTGAATATCAAAAACCATACCACAGGCACTGTCTCCTCTGCTCAATCAATAATTTTCTATTTTCCACAATTTCATATCTTTTACTGCCACAAAATATGACAGAGAACATATGCTATATTCTCCCCTTTCTACAAGGTGTCCAGTTGTTACATGCTCCCTTAGTACATCCTGCAAGTATGGTAAATCCGAAGTAAATATGAAAGTGGAGGGTAACTGGGTTTTGTTCTGAAGGAAGATGTTGTATGCATACATAAACATCTTTTTTTTTTTTTTTTTT